ACGTATATACAGTCATGTAGATGTATAGCAGGGTGTCATGTTCTGTAAACGACTCCCTGCTGTATGGGGAGATTTTCTGGAAAGAAATACGAAGTAGGGAGACGAGTAAATGCAATCAGAATGGATGTTAGTTGCCGTCAGTATAATAATAAGAAGAAGAAGAACGCCCGTGATCGGCAGAGTCAGCGCCGGTCCCAGGAAACGTCAGGACAGACATCCCGTTGACTCCAGAACGCCCGTGATCGGCAGAGTCAGCGCCGGTCCCATAGCTATGCAGAAGACGTGACTTCAGTATCTCAGTGAAACGTTTTTGCAATACAATGATGTAGCTAATCAAAGGAAAAAGCATTTCCATCAGTTCTAACAACATACACGATGAGCTAGGCAACAAAGCATAGCGCAGGGCCCTGAGCTTCCAAGCTCTCTCGTTTGGTGTTTGTTTGTTTGTTTGTTTGTGTCACGCCTGGCGCTATCCCGTATCTGTCCCGTACCGTATCGCACAGCTGGCCATTTGCTGGCTCCCGTATCTGTCCCGTACCGTACCGTACCATCAAACACAGCTGGCTACAAACAGCTGGCCACAATACAGTCGTCCCTCTCTAATCCGGCACCTTTTGCTACGGCGTTTTCTGCTGGATTAACGAGGGTGCTGGATTAAGAAATCCTGCCCTCTGACCCGGCCCTACCCAATTGCATGCATGTGTCATACGTCAAAACGCAGGGTTTTTCCGTGTCGATCCAAGTATTTGATGCACAACTTTATATTTTCAACTGTTCTCCAGGAATATACACAGTGACGAAGTGATAAAATAAAACAGAGAACATGTTCACATGTACTCTTGCACACACACGCACACACACAGGCCTGAAAATTGGCAAGACACTACTCCTTGCTAAAATAAGAAAGTATGGTTGACTGCTTAGCAGTTGTCTCCTGGACAACATTGACCCTCTTGAGAAGGCCACGCAAGCAGTCGACATCATGCAGGTCGAACGACGGATGTCCTTCGAAGCAAACAATTGCATCAGCAAGTGCGCGGGATGCTTGTGCCAGAGTTGGAAGGCTGTTGGAGTGCGCATCCAAGATGTGCTAGAGCTGTTAGCCAGTTAGTTGTAGAACGTCAGTACCGTCGGTCAGTGTCGTGCATCGTCGCTGATTGTTTTGTAACTGGTGGTGTTAGTAGACAGTATAGCGTAACTTGTAGTTCCTTGGTCTTTCTCTTTGTATAGATTGAGTTCGGGTTCGGAAAAGTCCTAACAACCAACCGAACTGAACTCTCCCGCGCGAGGTCGAGTACAGTTGTCAACTGAATTCGATCGATAACTGAACGCGATTTACGACTGCCGGATTATGAAATCAAACTACGTGCAGTTTGAGCGATTCGTTTCAAAAAGTCACTGCCGGAGGCGGAATTCAAGTGCCGGATTACGATGTAGGAATTGAACGAAAAAAATCGGTTTCATCAGAAAGTGCGCCGGTTGGCAAGGGTTCCGGATTAACAAGTGCCGGATTAGAGAGGGACGACTGTATTATGTACATGTACATGTATACGACTCCCTGTGTGTTGCAACTGTGCTTTAAGGGGACGGTTGCACTTTTCGTAGCTCCGTTTTATCTGAGTTTTCAGTCGTTCCTCTTACTAGTCTTGCCAAGGGGGTGGCTCTGGGTCCACCAGAGTTGCCCCTGGCGTATTTCTGAATTTGCTGGGGCGAGGGTTCCGCGACTTGGTCGCCAAGGCAGTGTCTTTTCAGTCACGACCGTTGTCGTCCTCGTCTCTCCATTCGCGTTGGTGTAGCTGACCCCCGAATGGTTTCAAACTGCGAAGCTCGGAGGAGTACAGTGGTGGCAGAGGCATGAGCTGTGAGTGGAGACGGTTGCTGGAGATGGATGGTGATGCAGGGAGAAGAGTTACGCTGCCTGACGCCGCGTGGGAAATTGTTTGAACCTGCAATTTCAGTTCGAGCGCGGTGGACTTCTAGACGATGTGTCCTCATGGCTGTTTTTCAACGCTTGGCCTATCGCTGATATCCCTGCGTGGGATGTTCTTCCAGTGGAGTCCAGGTGGGACTTCGGGTGCCCACACTCCATCACCTGGTTGATTGTTTCGGAACTGCAAAAATAATTATTGTTTCCTATTTTGTGCGCATCTCTTGTCATCTCTCTTTTCTATACGTCGCACACCAGATGTACTTCTATCGCCGTCTTTCTCTTGCTTTCTCTCCCTGCTTGCTGTTTTTTTTTTTCTGTTGCCACTGTCCCTCATCATACCCATGCTTGGGTGGTGGGCGGCGTGACCCGTTAGGGTAGCTGCCAATACAGTACGACTCCCTGATGTATAGAGAGACTTTCTGGAAAGAAATAGGGAGACGAGGAGGAAATGAAATTAGAATGGATGTTAGTTGCCGAATAGGTGATAGGATGCGTCAGTAAAAACATACTTTGGAAGAGACATCCCGTCGTCTCCAAAATAGGAGTGAACGGGCGAGTCAGCGCCGGTCACAGGAAACGTCGGCAGAGAGATCCCGTCGACTCCAGAACGCGCGTGCTCGGCAGAGTCAGCGCCGTTCCAGGAAACATTTCCATCAGTTCCCACAACATGCACGATGAGCTAAGTAACAAAGCATAGCGTAGGGCCCTGAGCTTCCAAGCTCTCTCGTTTGGTGTTTGTTTGTGTGTTTGTGTGTTTGTGTCACGCCTGGCGCTATCCCGTATCTGTCCCGTACCGTACCGTACCATCAAATACAGCTGGCCACATACAGCTGGCCGCAATATTCAAATAGCGCTTTCAAACGCAAGATCATAACGTGAAGCAACTTGGAAGAATGAGTATGAATGCGAAGTGTATGGGGGAATGCATGTAGGGCGATAGTGCGGGTTCGAATCCCAGGTAATGCCTGAAAAAAAAATAGGAGAATTGAAACATTTATAACATCCCTTTTCTTTTTTTGCCGTCATCAAGGCGGTAGACGGTGTCGTATTACCCTCGACCGTACCTGTCCCGTACCTGTCCCGTACCGTACAATCAAAGACGGCTGGCCACAATGCATATTCAAATAGGGCTTTCAAATACAAGATCATAACGTGAAGCAACTTGGAAGAATTAGTATGTATGCGAAGTGTATCGGGGGATACATGCAGGGCGATAGTGCGGGTTCGAATCCCAGGTTATGTCTAAAAACAAAAGGTAGCGATAGTGCGGGTTCGAATCCCAGGTTATGTCTAAAAACAAAAGGTAGAAACTTATTAGAATTTATAACATCCCTATGCTTTTTTGTCTAGGTCACCAAGGCAAACAAGGATAGCGTAGTGCCCTGAGCTTCCAAGCTCTCTCGTTTAGCGTCTAGTCTTGAACGGATTGGGAGAGCTTCAAATTCAAAGGATCACCATACCTCGGATGGTTAGAGCATTGCTCATGACAATCAAGGTACCGGGTTCGAGTCCTGGTGGGTCTGGCATTTTTATTCTCTATTCAGGCAGTTTCACTTTCCCGACTGATCCTTTGAATTTCTAGTCTGTAGGATATATCATATAGACACCACAACTACTATTACAGGTTCACTTGCTCACAAGCATGATCGAGCACCATACAGAACTGGACAGATTCTGAACCGCACCTGCAACCTTTAGCAGGTGCATAGCCTGGCCCCGGAGGGCCTGCATGCGCGTAATGCGTGTGGATTCAGCGTAGTCCGGTCACCACACCAGCAAATGCCCGTCATAGGCACTACATGGGCAAATGTGGGTAAAATGGCGACAATGGGGTGGTCTCTCTCTCTCTCTCCCCCTCTCTCTCTCTTTTTCTCTCTCTCTCTCTTTTTCTCTTCCTCTATTTTTCTCTCTCTCTCTATCTCACTATCTATCTATCTCTCTCTGTTTGTCTGTGTGTGTGTGTCTCTCTCTCTCTGTCTCTCTGTGTTTCTCTCCCTCTCTCCCTCTCTCTCTGTCTCTCTCTGTCTCTGTTTCTGTCTCTGTCTCTGTTTCTGTTTCTGTCTCTGTTTCTGCCTCTGTTTCTGTCTCTGTTTCTGTCTCTCTGTCTCTCTCTGTCTCTCTGTCTCTCCCTCTCTTTCCCACCCTCATAACCTCTCAACCCTATTGTAGCATAATCCTATATGCTAATCGACTGTGTGAAGTTAGGTCATGCCACTAATGTTGCCATACTCTGTGCTGTGTGCTTGTCCTCCAAACACTTTCTTGGTGCTGTTTTTGGTGCTGATGTTGATGCTACTCCTGACGATGCTACTATCGCACAACAAACTCCAGTACCTACACCAGGTGAGATGGTTGGCAGTGAATTCAACTTGCCTGCACGCTTCTTCCTCTGCACCACCGAAATGTGTCGACCCTGACTCGTTACAATGCACAACTTCTGTCAACCATGCCATGTTACATGCCAGCTCAGGACGTACATACACAGTCCATGCATGTCCCAGCACAGATCTCTAGCTACCTGTCAAACTGCACACCCAAGAGCGTAGATTCTGAACTACTGTAAGACATGTGAATATGCAGAGGAAGCTAATCTAACATTTTAACGAGTGACAGCTCTTCTTGAAATACTCCACCGCTCTACTCTGCGCTCCTGGCTCACATTCACAACACCGTAGAGAAGAAATACCTCGTTCTTGGTTAGCTGTTGAAAATTTCGAATGGCCAAGTTCGTCGCAGCTTCTACGTGATTGACATTTCTTTGTTTAAGTTTGTTAGAACAAGTTTTGTTGAGGTTGTAATGCCTAATCTGTGTTATATGAGGATAATGCCTGAAGACTGCAAGATTGTTAACATATCTTCTCGCTAACCTATGGGTTTTAGACCATCAACTTCTTCTTTTTTAGAACACGGAGGCTCCTTGCAACTCGTTGTAATAACTTATGTTGGGACGAAAGGTTCGAAGGTTTGAATGATCTTAGTTTTCACATTCAAAAAAAAAAGGAATGTTCAATTCAAACGAACCTTCGTGTACATATTGTTACTCGTACATACTGCACTTGTACATGTCTGTGCGCTCTGGTTGGAGTCGCGTACATGTGTAAAGTCACACATTGGCGACGACTCGCGTTGCAAAACCGCATGCAAGCGCGCTGCTCCCGCCTAGCTTCTGTCGAATGGACAAGATCCTTCTGGTTTGTACAAACGTCAGGCGAAATTACTGGTCAGTCGGCGACACGCATTTTTCACAAATATTTGCGTTTCACCTGCTGGGAGAGTATGCGTGTACTCGAGTCTCCTCCTGAGCACGTTTTTTTCTTCTTTTTTCAGCTCCAGTAGAGCTGTATTTTTCATTGCAAAGCCGTCCTCGATTGTTGTGTTCGTTGTTCAAACGAAGTGGACATTCAATCATGAAGGCAGAGGACATAGGAGCCTGATTGGAGTTTCTCGTGGCATAGGACGGCCACACAGAGACACTTTGGGATTTTCTGAATATAAAATACCGTACGCACGATGCTGAGATCAATTTGTGCGACATCAAATTGTTTGTGATCTACCACATCGAGCAGAACGGGATCCAAACACAAGCTTACCGACGGTTAGGCTGCCGACCTGACTGGACAAATGATCCCTGGCTTCACCAGACGCCAGAAGTCGCACACCATGTCCTTTGCCGCGACGTCCATCTCCAAAAAGAACTCCATCTTCGTCGTGAAAAGGCTTGAAATACTCAATATTCAACCGAGATTCGCGGTCTCACCCTTTCTCAGATCGAATCGTTTTTTGTTGTAGCAGTTGCAGGGCAGATCCCCGCCACTACTTCAACAGAAGATGGCTCCAAAGCATGCCTGGAACAAGCCATATCGAGGTTGCAAGCCACCCCTCTCAGCAGTTTTTTTTGAAGAAATTCGAAATTTCAATGGTGGAAGATATACTATGAAGAGAATTTCAAAAAGTATGTTTCGCGGAGCGATCGCTCAACCTACGTCATTCAAACTTTGCAGGATGGTTCAGACGTACATGCTAGGCATGGAACCACAGAAGATGATATCATAGCTGACACACACAGAGTCACAAACACAGCAGATTCGTGTGCACAGATACTAAATTAGTGGACGTCGTCATCTTCTTCCCGCTGATCCCAAATGTACTATGACGTGGTATTTCGCCTGACGTGACATGCCGACCCTCGCGAGGGCTCAAAGTCAAAGTGCTAGTACTCAGCGGCTAGGCTACAGGAACGTTGCAAATAATTTCGGAGGTGCATGCGATCCGAGCAATTATTTTTTATCAGCTATGGCAGGATTTCAAAGGAAGATGTGTTCGAAGCCGACTCCTGTTCCCAACATCTGGCCAGGTTGGACAATTGTCTGGGAACAGTTCGATAAGTTGTCCGTTGATGGGAAACTAAGAGCTGTTGTTATCATGCAGGGGTCCGCAAATCCTAATCTCCACAACCACTTGGAAGCGCGTAAGACGACGAAAGCTGTGTTGGCCGTGAAGCAGCTGAAACTACAGCCATTTTTTCAAGTGTTTCTATCGAATCGTCCTTGATCTGAGGCATGCTCGCATGGTGTCTGGAATCTCCTGGTTCGCTGGTGCTTCGTAAATTTGTAGCCTATGTGACAGTGTATATCTACATGTCTCGTGGAGCACAACTTTGTATGCTGCACTTCAATAGAAGGTTCGAACACTCGTTCGTTTGAAGCAGAAGGATTATTTTCTCGTAAGGAACATTATTTTGTCCCAACACTAGTTCTCACACACCTTACAGTACCACCTGCAATTATTATAGTTTTTCCTAGATGTCATGGGGGTCACGATTGTTAAATCCGAGCTCTCTGGTCTGTTTTGTCTCTTAGAGGTGGCTAAGACCAATCCGCAAGCCAATTACGGCACCGGAGTTACGTTCCACCTCCCAGCCTTTAAGCCTGGCTACTCAAGACAGCTGGTGGAGATTGGACAACAGGGCTCGGCGGTGACTGTTGCGGTTCGACTCTCTTCTGAAGATGTTGAAAACGGCTACGTGTCTGTAACGCCGGGTTATCATACCTACGGTTTCCAATACGTCCGTGACAGCGACCGTCGTGAGTCACCTATCGGTGCCACGTTCTCAGTGGGTACTCCACCTGGTAAGTACCTAATCCAAGGACAAAGGGAACAAATTTTGTAGTAAAGAAAAGGACCAAGGAACTACAAGTTACGCTATAATGTCCACTAACACCACCAGTTACTAAAAAATCAGCTCATACGAGTCCATACAAAAGGGGACAGATGATGCTTTTGCAATATCGGCTGACTTTTGAATACCGTACTGGCAATATATGTTGCCGCAGTGAGGCCATGAAGCGTTACATTGGCACATCTTTGCCGCACGCAGGGCGTTACATGCAAAGTCGCACAGGAGCCGTTACACAGGTTTCTATATTGCCGCAGTCCTTTTTTTGCTGTTGCCACATCATTTTTTTGCTATTGCCGCATCATTTTTTGCAAACTGCAATGAAAAGATCGCCGCACCCCGCCGGACGCGCGTTACGAACTCAACGAAAATTTGTCGCACTAGCCTGGTCGCGCGTTACGCCGCACCCTCCTGCGTTACGCGTTACGCGGCAACATATATTGCCAGTACGGTATTCAACTAGCATTTAGAAGTCATTCCTCTTGTAGTTCGAAGTGTTGTGTACTGTTCAGTCAGTGCTGCCAACCAACTGGGTCTGTTTTGCGTACTGTGACTCTCTCTCTCTCTCACTCTCTTTCTCTCTCTATCTCTCTCTCTATCTCTCTCTCTCTCTCTCTCTCTCTCTCTCTCTCTCTCTTTCCCACCCTTACCCTCTCTTTCCCACCCTCATAACCTCTCAACCCTATTGTAGCATAATCCTATATGCTAATCGACTGTGTGAAGTTACGTCATGCCACTAATGTTGCCATACTCTGTGCTGTGTGCTTGTCCTCCAAACACTTTCTTGATGCTGTTTTGGTGCTGATGTTGATGCTACTCCTGACGATGCTACTATAGCACAACAAACTCCAGTACCTACACCAGGTGAGATGGATGGCAGTGAATTCAACTTGCCTGCACGCTTCTTCCTCTGCACGACCGAAATGTGTCGACCCTGACTCGTTACAATGCACAACTTCTGTCAACCATGCCATGTTACATGCCAGCTCAGGACGTACATACACAGTCCATGCATGTCCCAGCACAGATCTCTAGCTACCTGTCAAACTGCACACCCAAGAGCGTAGATTCTGAACTACTGTAAGACATGTGAACATGCAGAGGAAGCTAATCTAACATTTTAACGAGTGACATCTCTTCTTGAAATACTCCACCACTCCACTCTGCACTCCTGGCTCACATTCACAACACCGTAGAGAAGAAATTCGTTCTTGGTTAGCTGTTGAAAATTTCGAATGGCCAAGTTCGTCGCAGCTTCTACGTGATTGACATTTCTTTGTTTAATTAAGTTTGTTAGAACAAGTTTTGTTGAGGTTGTAATGCCTGATCTGTGTTATGTGAGGATAATGCCTGAAGAGTGCAAGATCGTTAACATATCTTCTTGTTAACCTATGGGTTTTAGACCATCAACTTCTTCTTTTTTAGAACACGGAGGCTCCTTGCAACTCGTTGTAATAACTTATGTTGGGACGAAAGGTTCAAGGGTTTGAATGATCTTAGTTTTCACATTCAAAAGAAGGAATGTCCAATTCAAACGAACCTTCGTGTACATATTGTTACTCGTACATACTGCACTTGTACATGTCTGTGCGCTCTGGTTGGAGTCGCGTACATGTGTGAAGTCACACATTGGCGACGACTCGCATTGCAGAACTGCATGCAAGCGCGCTGCTCCCGCCTAGCTTCTGTCGAATGGACAAGATCCTTCTGGTTTGTACAAATGACATGCCGACCCTTGCGAGGGCTTGAAGTCAAAGTGCTAGTACACAGCGGCTAGGCTACAGGAACGTTGCAAATATTTTCGGAGGTGCATGCGATCCGAGCAAGTACTTTTTATCAGCTATGGCAGGATTTCAAAGGAAGATGTGCTCGAAGCTAACTCCTGTTCCCAACATCTGGCCAGGTTGGACAATTGTCTGGGAACAGTTCGATAAGTTGTCCGTTGATGGGAAACTAAAAGCTATTGTTATCATGCAGGGGTCCGCAAATCCTAATCTTCACAACCACTTGGAAGCGCATAAGACGACGAAAGCTGTGTTGGCCGTGAAGCAGCTGAAACTACAGCCGTTTTTCAAGTGTTTCTATCGAATCGTCCTTGATCTGAGGCATGCTCGCATGGTGTCTGGAATCTCCTGGTTCGCTGGTGCTTCGTAAATTTGTAGCCTATGTGACAGTGTATATCTACATGTCTCGCGGAGCACAACTTTGTATGCTGCACTTCAATAGAAGGTTCGAACACTCGTTCGTTTCAAGCAGAAGGATTCTTTTCTTTTAAGGAACATTATTTTGTCCCAACACTAGTTCCCACGCACCTTACAGTAACATCTGCAATTATTATAGTTTTTCCTAGATGTCATGGGGGTCACGATTGTTAAATCCGAGCTCTCCGGTCTGTTTTGTCTCTTAGAGGTGGCTAAGACCAATCCGCAAGCCAATTACGGCACCGTAATTACGTTCCACGTCCCAGCCGTTAAGCCTGGCTACTCAAGACAGCTGGTGGAGATTGGACAACAGGGCTCGGCGGTGACTGTTGCGGTTCGACTCTCTTCTGAAGATGTTGAAAACGGCTACGTGACTGTAAAGCCGGGTTATCATACCTACGGTTTCCAATACGTCCGTGACAGCGACGGTCGTGAGTCACCTGTCGGTGCCACGTTCTCAGTGGGTACTCCACCTCGTAAGTACCTAATCCGAGGGCAAAGGGAACAAATTTTATAGTAAAGAAAAGGACCAAGGTGTAATGTCCACTAACACCACCAGTTACTAAAAAATCAGCTCATGCAAGTCCATACAAAGAGGACAGATGATGCTTTTGCAATATCGGCTGACTTTTGAATATTCAACTAGCATTTAGAAGTCATTTCTCTTGTAGTTCGAAGTTTTGTGTACTGTCCAGTCAGTGCTGCCAACCAACTGGGTCTGTTTTGCGTACTGTGACTTCTGACTTTCCGTGTTTTGCAGTGGGGTTTTTTCGCGCTACCAATGTGCTGTCGTGTGCAGCGCTTGTATTGTGCTTTTTGGACACCCACAGTCTTGTCGGTGGCTGAATTTGCTAGTGCAAAACATGTGTGACTTGTACCCCGACATGATATGTTGTGCTATGTGTAGTCAAAGCATGGTATGTACTCACTTTGGCACAGGGATATTCATCGCTCAGCTTGCGCTTGCCATGCTTCCGCATATATATGCTTCTGCATACATATCTAGTGCAGGTGATGGATCTTCAATTTTCCGTACCATTTTGCTTCCGTACTGCGGAGCGTTTTCCGTACAAATACGGAAAAAGTACGGAAGGTTGGCAGCACTGTTACCTTGTTGAAAACGTTGGCTCTGTGTTTTTGTGTTTGTCATCTTGATACTTTGTTGTTTGCAGCTACTAATGCTGATGCTAATGCTGATGCTAATGCTGATGCTAATGCTGATGCAAATGCTGATGATTTCGGTGATGATTTCGGTGATAATCTTGATGCTGTTTTTGGTGCTGATACTGATGCTGATGCCACTGCTGACGATGCTACTGCTGAAGATGCTACTGCTGACGATGCTACTGCTGAAGATGCTACTGCTGAAGATGCTACTGTCGCACAACAAGCTCCAGTAACTATACCAGGTGAGATGGATGGCATTGAATTCAACTTACCTGCATGGTATTTCAACTTTGGAAAAGATGGATACAAAATCGTTATTTAATTGGCAATATTGTAATAATCATGAAGTTGGTTGCTCCAACGAGGAGCACACGCTTCTTGCCGAACTTGACACTTGACTGACTCACGACTGCCATCCGGAGTACACGAGGAGCAAGTTGCACCTTCCACTCGGCAAACCGGAAAGAAAGCACCACTCCCTGCCCAATACAACTTCATGACTATTATCGCCGAAGTCGCAACTTCTAAGTTAATATTGTAATAAGCCAGGGCGGTTGGGTTTGTTATTATAGGGGAGGCTTTATTGGTTTTGTGTCTGGATTATGCAGCATCCCGAGTCACTTAATTAAGACCATGGGAGTACTGCTGTTGTATGTGAAGAAAAGAAAATAAGGGAGAGAGAAAAATGAAAGAAAACAAAGAGAAACACTGGAAACAACAAATACACAATGATACAATCCTTTATACAACTAATCTGCTAGACAGAGACTCAACAGAAGCCGGTACAGAAATAGCAGGAGAGGTAAATCAGAAAACAAGATCCGTTGAAAAGTAGCCATCATCAAACCTAACATAGAACCATTCTGCTACACAGTGTCCCTGAAGGCAGCTATATGATTCTTCTCATTCAACATCGGCCAAGGACCGTCCAACCAGCGAATGGGGGTCGATAATAATTATTGTTGTCTTTTGTTATTGGCAAGTTATTATTATTAGAAATGTGCAAACTAGTGTTGGAACTTATGTTCTTTATGAGAAAAGAATCCTTCTGTTTCAAACGAACTACTGTTCGAACCTTCTATTGAAGTGCAGCATACAACATTGTCCTCCGCGATACGTGTAGATACTGGCACATAGGCCGAAAATTTACGAAGCACCAGCGCACCAGGAGATTCCAGACACCATGCGAGCGTGCCTCAGATCAAGGATGATTCAATAGGCCTTATTCACGTTGTACAGATGCGCGGAATCCCTTAGAATCTCGTATTATCTTGTAGAATCCCGTAGACCCGGTTGGTTGTTGAATGTGCAGGACCCTATTGTGTTTACTGCTACAGTCAGACCTCGCTTAACTGCACACATCCGTTTTCCACAAAAAATATCCGGATAGGCGAGGGAACCGGATAACTGAACACACACACTGTATATGCATGTGGCATATCAAAAGGAGTGGCATCGTACATGCATGCAGACGGGTCCTATGCAGTACAACTAGCGTGCACAATATGTAAAACAAGCGAGAAAAATGACAAGTGCATGCAACTGAGTGCTAATCGCATGCATCCAGCAGGTCAAGGACCTCATTAATTTTGTTGTATGCATAACGTACGCTGCACATCGGTAACCAGCGATTTTCTTCCGGATGGCGAGGGATCCGGATAAAACGAGGACCGGATAAGCGAGGTCTGACTGTATTTTTACTATGAAATGGGCCCTGAAGGAATTTCATATGAAAACTTTCTCTGGCAGAGATCTAGCTAGATCAATCCCAAAGTGAAGAAGCTGGAAAAGCGATTTTTTGCCCTGAATTATGAGGCTAAATGGGTCAAACGCGCATGTATAGCACACAACAAACACCCAACCGGGTATGTACACACCCATGACGCTAGTACAGAACTTCGTACATCTGTACAACGTGCATAAGGACTATAGAAAAACACTTTTAAAACGGATGTAGTTTCAGCTTCACAGCCGACGCAGCTTCCGTCGTCTTATGCGTTTTCAAGTGGCCGTGAATATTAGAAGTTACGGGCCCGTTTTATGATAACAACAGCTTTTAGTTTCCCATCAACGGTCAACTTATCGAACGTTCCCAGACAATTGTCCAACTTGGCCAGATGTTGGGAACAGGAGTGGGCTGAAAACGTACAATAGGGGAAAGAGAGATCATGTACGGGGAGCGTGCGGGGTCAAATAGTTAGAGTCCTAATGGAGCGGGAAAGTGGGTGTGTGTACGTGCACATATGGGATATTATTACTTTTATTCACACATATCCGCCGGATGAGTACGCGTGGCCCATGCACCATGGGGACCCACGGATACAAACCAGCATATGTTCCCTCGGCAATACAAGCAAGCAAGCACGCAAAGATAAATGAGAGCCCAGGCAGCGAAAACAAAACGAAGAGAGATGAGGACATAGGCAACGAAAACAATTCCAAAGCATAGCCAGGGATTGAATGTGCGCATCTGTGTACGACAGTTAATACGGCTAGTGCAGCCGTACAGAGCGCAGCAGCACGAAAATACAAAAGTGCCACAGCAGCAGCCAAGAGTGTGCAAACACTAAAAAAGAAGATCAGTCCATGAAAAATTATTGTCGCCACAGGTAGACATCTCCGGCAAGAATGCATGCGTGCGCACGAGTAGGCAGGCAAGCATGTCAGATGTAATCGTATTATTATGGCCAGGCTAATGGGATAGAGCGCCCAAAAAAGGTGCATGCAGGCATTAGTGTGTGAGTGCATGCATATACGGGAGAGAGACCCGAACACATCTTTTCTCAAGACATACATGTCGATTCAAACCCGTTATCGCGGCATAGTCATGGCCTTCCAGATATGAGGTTGGGGGTTTGTCACGCGAAATTACGCATCTATGAGCGACATCCACAAAACCTGCTGGGAGAGTACGCGTATACTCGAGTCTCATCCTGTATGGTTCGCGGCGCGATCATTCTACTTACGTCATTCAAACTTTGCAGGATGGTTCTTACCTACACGGTAGGCATGGAACCACAGGGCTTGATGTCATAGCTGACACGCAAAGTCACACGTACAGCACATTCGTGTGCACAGATACTAAATTAGTGGACGTCGTCATCTTCTTCCCGCTGGTCTCAAATGTACGATGACGTGCTATTTCGCCTGACGCGAGTGCCAGGTTGAGTGAAGATTACCTCAACCCCAGCATACTTATCCGGGATTGGTTATCTGACATTAGTTAGGCAGGCTATGGTGATGAAGGAGAGAAGAGATGAGCACTGTCCCCACACTATGTCCAGCTCTGTGATGCAGGACTTCTGCACTAACATCTCCTGACCCTACAGTCAGCTATAGCTAGGTGTGCCATGATACATGACAGTTTGACATGTAGCTCTATGTCTTCTCTCTGTTCTCACAATACTTTGTTACTTTGTTGTGTTGCAGCTGCTGATGCTGACGATGATAGTGATGACTTTGATGCTGACTTGGATGCTGTTTTCGGTACTGATGCTGATGCTGATACTGATGCTGCTGATTCTACACCAGGTGAGATGAAAGTCATCGAAATCAACTTACTGCCCACCAACGTGTTAACAACTTTTATAACGAGAGGATGCAGAACCGTCATCACATGGTCGTGGTCAGTACGTGGCTCTGGTCTGCAGTATTTAACACGCTGGTCTGTCTTACATAACTCTTTGAGGACAACAAGTATACCCGCTTTTAAGGTATATGTAGCTGGGTTCCTAAAGACGAGTATCCGTTTCCAAATGTTCAGTTTGTGCAGCGCATATAGATCACTGCACAAATTGTTGTAACTCCATTGTCCTTTCTTCGATTGCCAAAAGTGAGGGCTCGTTGGAAAGCTGATAGAACAAGTGTTCCAACAGTGTGTCATTTGATATGGCGCAGAGAAGAATCACTGGACAAATTGTGTTCAAATTCCGCGCATGGGGAGCGCGGCAGTGCTCGAACAAGGACATTCCCTGTGATTCATGGTTGCATAGTGCATGCGGAGTGGGGACCAAATGAATCGCTTGAAGGGGAAGTTAATGCACAAATCAAAATTTCACCAGTTGTAGTCTTCGGGGTACTGAGACGTGGTGGTCTTGGTCTGAGAAAGCTGAGACGCTCCCTACCTACTTGAATCCCAAAAGAACTCGCGCACTTCCACCGAAACTGGGTGACTGCGCCCTACTAGATGGGGATTTGTATGCAAAATGTCACTAAAAGCGCCATTTCGTTCTTGTAAAAGCACGGATGACCGCGATTGGCCCATATGTTGTAGTCTTTTGGACGCTGAGTCGACTGGTTTTGGTCCGAAAAGGCTGCGATGCAGCGTTCCTCCTTTATTCCCAATCGAACATGGTTGAACAAGCGGTCACGTGCTCCTGGGTGCCCAAATCACCTGGTCACCAGGCCAGCAGGCGACAACTTTCACACCAAGGTTCAACTCGAGTGACAGGACTGCACCCAAAAAAGGTCAAACAGGCTAGTAAGTTGTACCCTGCAGGCACGGTGACCAGGTGACTGGTGTACGCAGGAGCACGTGACCGCTTGTTCAACCATGTTCGATTGGGAATAAATGAGGAACGCTGCATCGCAGCCTTTTCGGGCCAAAACCAATCGACTCAGTGTCCAAAAGACTACAACATATGGGCCAATCGCGGTCATCCATGCTTTTATAAGAACGAAATGGGGCTTTTAGTGACATTTTGCATACAAATCCCCATCTAGTAGGGCGCAGTCACCCAGTTTCGGTGGAAGTGTGCGAGTTCGATTGGGATTCAAGTAGGAAGGGAGCGTCTCAGCTTTCTCGGATCACGACCATTCGACTCAGCACCCCGAAGACTACAACTGGTGAAATTTTGATTTTTGCCTTTTAACTTCCCCTTTGAGCTTCATGAATCTGCAGGACTTTGATTGAAAAGGCATGAAGACGAATCTGTTGTCCTGTTGGATATGTAGTGGCAATAATTGGAAAGACATACTGGGACGTAGTGCGACTGTTGCTTGCCTCTGCGCGTACCCTGTATGAATCAAGTCATTTTGCGGGAGTCCTCAAAGGGTTAACAACTTTTATAAAAGACAGATACAAAACCGTCAGCACATAGTCTTGGTCGGCTTGTGGCTCTGGTCTTAGCTCACTGGTCTACTGCACTTAACGCACTGGTCTACTGCACTTAACGCACTGGTCTACTGCACTTAACGCACTGGTCTTTTAGTTCAGGTAATGTAACAGGTCATGTAGTGGATTAGCGGATGCTGGGATTGGTTATCTGACATTAGTTAGGCAGGCTATGGTGATGAAGGAGAGAGGAGATGAGCACTGTCCCCACACTATGTCCAGCTCTGTGATGCAGGACTTCTGCACTAACATCTCCTGACCCTACAGTCAGCTATAGCTAGGTGTGCCATGATACATGACAGTTTGACATGTAGCTCTATGTCTTCTTTCTGTGCTCACAAAACTTTGGTACTTTGTTGTGTTGCAGCTGCTGATGCTGACGATGATAGTGATGACTTTGATGCTGACTTGGATGCTGTTTTCGGTACTGATGCTGATGCTGATACTGATGCTGCTGATTCTACACCAGGTGAGATGAAAGTCATCGAAGTCAACTTACTGCCCACCAACGTGTTAACAACTTTTATAACAAGAGGATGCAGAACCGTCATCACATGGTCGTGGTCAGTACGTGGCTCTGGTCTGCAGTACTTAACACGCTGGTCTGTCTTACATAACTCTTTGAGGACAACAAGTATACCCGCTTTTAAGGTATATGTAGCTGGGTTCCTAAAGACGAGTATCCGTTTCCAAATGTTCAGTTTGTGCAGCGCATATAGATCACTGCATAAATTGTTGTAACTCCATTGTCCTTTCTTCGATTGCCAAAAGTGAGGGCTCGTGGGAAAGCTGATAGAACAAGTGTTCCAACGGTGTGTCATTTGATATGGCGCAGAGAAGAATCACTGGACAAATTGTGTTCAAATTCCGCGCATGGGGAGCGCGGCAGTGCTCGAACAAGGACATTTCCTGTGATTCATGGTTGCATAGTGCATGCGGAGTGGGGACCAAATGAATCGCTTGAAGGGGAAGTTAATGCAAAAATCAAAATTTCACCAGTTGTAGTCTTCGGGGTGCTGAGACGTGGTGGTCTTGGTCTGAGAAAGCTGAGACGCTCCCTTCCTACTTGAATCCCAAAAGAACTCGCGCACTTCCACCGAAACTGGATGACTGCGCCCTACTAGATGGGGATTTGCATGCAAAATGTCACTAAAAGCGCCATTTCGTTCTTATAAAAGCACGGATGACCGCGATTGGCCCATTGTTGTACTCTTTTGGACGCTGAGTCGACTGGTTTTGGTCCGAAAAGGCTGCGATGCAGCGTTCCTCCTTTATTCCCAATCGAACATGGTTGAACAATCGGTCACGTGCTCGTGGGTGCCCAAATCACCTGGTCACCACGCCAGCAGGCGACAACTTTCACACCAAGGTTCAACTCGAGTGACATGACTGCACCCAAAAAAGGTCAAACAGGCTAGTAAGTTGTACCCTGCAGGCACGGTGACCAGGTGACTGGTGTACGCAGGAGCACGTGACCGCTTGTTCAACCATGTTCGATTAGGAATAAAGGAGGAACGCTGCATCGCAGCCTTTTCGGGCCAAAACCAATCGACTCAGTGTCCAAAAGACTACAACATATGGGCCGATCACGGTCATCCATGCTTATATATAAACGAAATGGCGCTTTTAGTGACATTTTGCATACAAATCCCCATCTAGTAGGGCGCAGTCACCCAGTTTCGGTGAAAGTGTGCGAATTAGATTGGGATTCAAGTAGGAAGGGAGCGTCTCAGCTTTCTCGGATCACGACCATTCGACTCAGCACCCCGAAGACTACAACTGGTGAAATTTTGATTTTTGCCTTAACTTCCCCTTTGAGGTTCATGAATCCGCAGGACTTTGATTGAAAAGGCATGAAGACGAATCTGTTGTCCTGTTGGATATCTAGTGGCAATAATTGGAAAGACATACTGGGACATAGTGCGACTGCTGCTTGCCTCTGCGCGTACCCTGTATGAATCAAGTCATTTTGCGGGAGTCCTCAAAGGGTTAACAACTTTTATAAAAGACAGATACAAAACCGTCAGCACATAGTCTTGGTCGGCTTGTGGCTCTGGTCTTAGCTCACTGGTCTACTGCACTTAACGCACTGGTCTACTGCACTTAACGCACTGGTCTACTGCACTTAACGCACTGGTCTTTTAGTTCAGGTAATGTAACAGGTCATGTAGTGGATTAGCGGATGCTGGGATTGGTTATCTGACATTTGTTAGGCAGGCTATGGTGATGAAGGAGAGAGGAGATGAGCACTGTCCCCACACTATGTCCAGCTCTGTGATGCAGGACTTCTGCACTAACATCTCCTGACCCTACAGTCAGCTATAGCTAGGTGTGCCATGATACATGACAGTTTGACATGTAGCTCTATGTCTTCTTTCTGTGCTCACAAAACTTTGGTACTTTGTTATGTTGCAGCTGCTGATGCTGATGCTGATGTTAGTGATGACTTTGATGCTGACTTGGATGCTGTTTTCGGTACTGATGCTGATGCTGATACTGATGCTGCTGATTCTACACCAGGTGAGATGAAAGTCATCGAAGTCAACTTACTGCCCACCAACGTGTTAACAACTTTTATAACAAGAGGATGCAGAACCGTCATCACATGGTCGTGGTCAGTACGTGGCTCTGGTCTGCAGTACTTAACACGCTGGTCTGTCTTACATAACTCTTTGAGGACAACAAGTATACCTGCTCTTAAGGTATATGTAGCTGGGTTCCTAAAGATGAGTATACGTTTCCAAATGTTCAGTTTGTGCAGCGCATATAGATCACTGCACAAATTGTTGTAACTCCATTGTCCTTTCTTCGATTGCCAAAAGTGAGGGCTCGTTGGAAAGCTGATAGAACAAGTGTTCCAACGGTGTGTCATTAGATATGGCGCAGAGAAGAATCACTGGACAAATTGTGTTCAAATTCCGCGCATGGGGAGCGCGGCAGTGCTCGAACAAGGACATTCCCTGTGATTCATGGTTGCATAGTGCATGCGGAGTGGGGACCAAATGAATCGCTTGAAGGGGAAGTTAATGCAAAAATCAAAATTTCACCAGTTGTAGTCTTCGGGGTGCTGAGACGTGGTGGTCTTGGTCTGAGAAAGCTGAGACGCTCCCTTCCTACTTGAATCCCAAAAGAACTCGCGCACTTCCACCGAAACTGGGTGACTGCGCCCTACTAGATGGGGATTTGTATGCAAAATGTCACTAAAAGCCCCATTTCGTTCTTATAAAAGCACGGATGACCGCGATTGGCCCATATGTTGTACTCTTTTGGACACTGAGTCGACTGGTTTTGGTCCGAAAAGGCTGCGATGCAGCGTTCCTCCTTTATTCCCAATCGAACATGGTTGAACAAGCGGTCACGTGCTCCTGGGTGCCCAAATCACCTGGTCACCACGCCAGCAGGCGACAACTTTCACACCAAGGTTCAACTCGAGTGACAGGACTGCACCCAAAAAAGGTCAAACAGGCTAGTAAGTTGTACCCTACAGGCACGGTGACCAGGTGACTGGTGTACGCAGGAGCACGTGACCGCTTGTTCATGATACATGACAGTTTGACATGTAGCTCTATGTCTTCTTTCTGTGCTCACAAAACTTTGGTACTTTGTTGTGTTGCAGCTGCTGATGCTGACGATGATAGTGATGACTTTGATGCTGACTTGGATGCTGTTTTCGGTACTGATGCTGATGCTGATACTGATGCTGCTGATTCTACACCAGGTGAGATGAAAGTCATTGAAGTCAACTTACTGCCCACCAACGTGGTGTTAAACCCCTTTTGTGCCAGATCAGTTACTACACGCTTAACCGGCATGCGCCCTGGCAGTACATGCAGTGTTCACATTGGACACTAAATGTATCGCCATTTCACTCACCAGTAACAGATTTCCATCATCATAGACTCCCTGGAAAGCTGAGGATCTCCCCTGTCGATCCATGGTGCTCAGTGCTCCGTAGGCGCAGGAGAACGGCCTACAAAAGCTTCGCGAGCCACTCCAATGTGCTTTTGTAGTACTCTGCTCACAATACCTTGTTACTTTGTTGTGTTGCAGCTGCTGATGTTGATGGTGATGGTGATGACTTTGATGCTAACTTGGATGCTGTTTTCGGTACTGATGCTGATGCTGCTGATTCTACACCAGGTGAGATGAAAGTCATTGGAGTCAACTTACTGGCCACCAATGTGTTGTTCACAACTTTGATAAAAAGATAGATACATAGTCTTGGTCAGTGCGTGGCTCTGGTCTGTCGTACATAACACACTGGTCTGTAGTACTTGTGCACTGGTCTTTCAGTGCAAGTAATGTGACAGATCATGTAGCGGATGGACAGATGCTGTATAGGTAGAACTTGTCTGTATGTATGTATGTATGTATGTATGTATGTATGTATGTATGTCTGTATGTCTGTATGTCTGTATGTCTGTCTGTGTCTAACTCTGTCTGTCTGTATAAAGACAACTGGATATAGCCAAGTGAAATTTAATTAATCCTAAAGTAACGCTCAAACAAACAAACATGGATGCAGTGAATGGGATTTTTGGTCTTTGACCACTTTGTGGTGGGTCTGATCTACTCACCTCCCACCGCTTAGGAGCTGCATATGTGCCTTGATCCAAGAGGATGGTGGCGTTCCTGCGGATGTGGAAAACTGGGCCGAGTCTCACGCGAACCGTATTTTTTTTAACGCTCAAACATGATTCTTTGTACTGGACAGTTGCTGGCACGTCATCGTGTGGGCAATCAAGCTTTTGCTGAATTGTCTGTCTCTGTCTTTGTCTGTTTCTCTCTTCCTCTCTATTTCTCTCTCTCTCCCTCTCTCTCCCGCCCCGTCCAAATCACTAATCAGCTGTAGAACCCGAAAGCGTGGCGTGGAACGGTGAGTGCCCAGCACAGAGAGAATGCGGTCAATTCAATAAGCTCGGCAGTGTGGCGGGTCAGTGCTGCCCATCGTGCAGCAGGAACATCTCTCAGTGTGCCGGCACACAATGCCCACCTATCCGTGGCTGTATAAGATACGACAATAGCGTGCGGCCGGGTCAGTGCTGCCTGAGATGCAGACGCCGCAGAACCAAAATCAATAACAGCCCAAGTAAGTATACACTACTGTGCTGCTCCTTTTAACGTTGTGTACTGTAAAACATGGAAACATAGCAAGGAAGTAAATCTAAGGGCATAAACGAGTTACATTTCATTTCCGTTGTTCTGTTGAGGCTGTATTGTCTCAGTCTCAACAGCTGCCGAAATTGCGTATATTCACAGTAGGTGAAAAGGGCATGATGAGGGAGGGACACATGCAATGTAGGTACCAGTAGGCAGGTCGATGCTTAGACATTGCCCTCACTCCATTTGACAATGTCTTCCTTGTTTTGTTTTTTGTTTTTTGTTTTTTTTGTACGTTCGTATAGATGCTGTCTGCGCTGATGTGATCTGCGCAAAGGGAATGACGTGTGCCAACAAGCATGGCAGAGCTGTGTGCGTATGCAAGACTTGTCCAGATGCAAAGACACAAGTAAGCCTGCTGTAATATCTCACTTATTCTTTCTTCCCCTGCAAAATTACAGATCAGGCAGAAACACTGCAGCTGCGCCAGACCATCTGTCTCCCACCACCAAATTTGTATAGTGTTCTAATCCTTCCCCCCCCCCCTCCCATAAATTCACGTACAAGTACAGTTGAATGGGTGTGTTTATCCGGTGTTCAGTTACCGGCATGCTGGTTGTCCCACTTTGCGCTGAGAGCTCAGTACATTGTATGCTTACAGTCATACTTCAAGTAAATGTTTACAGCGGCCACCATGAATGTCAGCTTTATGTGACCTCGCGTATGAGTCAGTCTTTAATAAGACTCTTTATAGATGAGGACGACAACTGTCTCTGGATACTGCTAGTAAAGCGGGATTCACAGGAGCATTTTGGCGATGCACGATGCGATGGCCGCGAAACTGGGATATCCCCAAATCGCATCCATCTCGCAGCTGCAACTAGGCCATCGCAGAAGTTAAAGCTTGGCTCAACTTTTGCGATGCGACGATGCGGCATATGATTTCGACCTTTTCTGCAGCAAATTTATACAAAGTTTCAAGAGTTGCTTGTATATTTGTACAAGTTGTACCAAGCCACGCACATACCATGGTGACATGCTCAACCTGCATTGAACGTCGCGCCAAATCAGCAAGGCGTCGTCGTATCGCTGACTTCTTCTGTGAATGGTATTTCGCGAGTTCGCATCGCACGCCTCCGTCGCAGATCGCTTCGCATCGCAAGAAAGCTTCTGTGAACCCGCTTGATAGAGCATCAGAGTACAGGTGAAATCACGCTCTGCTGTTCGTCTAATGCATGAACACAAGATGGATACGCAGCTTCAGTTATCCAGAATATCCATCTACCCAACAGCGTCCGATCCCGAGGATGCCGGATACGTCTGACGTCAACTGTAGATTACTTGGTGGCGGGGGGCGTGGGGTGGTGAGAGAGATGAGTACCGCCCTTGCTTTGTGAGCTCTTTACCTCACCGCCAAGGGTTTGCAGTTCACACTATCTTTGCTGCATAATACCTACAATTACTTGAGAGGAGAGAGCCATTTGAGAGAAACACTTTTAATCTCACAATAACAACATGCGTACTGGTTTTCTCTTGTTCCTTTCACAGGAGACTCCAGTGAAGGGCAATGATGGCACGACCTACGCTAGCGCGTGCCATCTCAAGAGGGCACAGTGCATGGCATGCAGCAACCTTTAACAAGTGAAGAATTTGTATTTCACTGCCGATCCTTTCTCATGCATTTGCCGATCTTTTTTTTTTTTTTTTTTTTTTGTCTCCCAACGTTCCCCGGCCCTGCAATGATTCAGAACCTCCTTCTTTCCCCTTCATCCCCATTTGAAGAGTATGTACTTTTGCACAGTATTCATAAAAGTCTATGATATTCTTATGCAGATTGAGATTAGTGATTTCCTATGTGAAGAGTTTACTTGCAAATGGGAATTACTTACTAGTACAGTCCTTATCTGGGAAGCTGAAGACTTTGGTTCAGTGACATCACCATAGGTCAAGGAGCACATTCACGAAGAGCTCATTCCAAACCCAATCAGAATCACTTCAAACTTTGCAGTACGAATAAGGATTTTTTTTAGACGCCGCACACGTAAATGGAGTCAGTCCTTTCGGGCCATTATCCGAAAAGTGGAGAAATGGATGTGTGTCGTTTTTGGGGCTCTAGTGAATGTGGAGCAGAATGCCAATGGTCCGAATATAGAATCATCCGGACAATCAGGAATCCAAAACACCTGATGCCTGGAGTTTGAGGAAAGGACAGTTAGACTGGATACCCTGTAAAGTTGTCTTTTTCCCGCCCATATGCGAAATTCAGCAGCAGCATAGCACTGGTGCAAAGGTTGCAGCACTCCAGTGGACCAGCCACGCCTGGAGCTGAACATACAATCGTTTCCTAAGGCCATGCCTGAAAATGTTTGCTTGTAAATGATTCTGTCCAATGACTACTAAAAAAATTCCAAACCTGTCACAGATAGGTCCATCGAGTTTTATCACCAGTGTAAACGGCTGAAACTCGTTCGCACAATGCTACTAGCTAGGGGCATGTTCGATTGGTAAGGATCGGGATCGGGATCCAGATCTCAGATCCGTTCAGAGTCAACTGAAAACTTTATTTTGGACCTTGACAGTTGCCAAGTGGACGAAGTAATAAAATGGCGCTCACAAGTCACCCAAAAAGGGTGAAAGTCGTACTCGTGGGGCGTGTCGTACAAAAAGTCAACAAGCTCTATCTTGATCCACGTGTGCGTACCACAATGTGTACAAAAATGATTTTTACCCGCTATATACGCACAAAGGTCACATTTGGATCTGTTGGATCCGGTCAACCCTGCTCCCCGAGGTGGGTTGACCGAGGATCCGGATCTGGATTCAACCAATCGAAAGGGTGCGAATCTGGTGGATCCGGATCCCGATCCTACCAATCCAACATGCCCTAGCTTGCCATTCACACCGAGTGAAGCAAGCATGCAAGCGCTCTCCTCAGCAATCGCCATAGCAACGCCCACTCACATGAAGCACGGCAGCTGCTCGCTAGCACACCGATGCCAATCTGCTGCCCTAGTACTGGTAATCGTCATGTCATGTGACATTATAACAATCACACGCTCCAGCGTGTATGTGTATCCTATGGATACCATCAGGAGTCCATAATCCCCCAGAGTCTGTCCCTGCGGGAATTTGCGGAAAAAATCCTCGAAAACGTGCGCAAGAAATTGCGGCAGAAAACAACAAAAAATGCGGCGAAAAGTGCGGAACTTGCCAGGAACTCGCGGAATTATTGGCAGAAAATTGCGGATTTGGGCCAAATCACGAAATTTGTTGTATCCTTAGAATCGCTATTTGCGTACTGTGGAAATAACCTACGAGCAGGATCATGGAAAGCACTGTATACTGCGTGAAAAGTGCAGAAAATGTCAAAAGAAGTGCAGAAAACAACAAAAAACGCGGGAAATCGCGGATTTTTCAGAAAATCGCGGGTTTGGGCCAAAATCGCGAAATTTGTTGCGTCCGCGGAATCGCGATTTCCTGGAGGGACAGCAGAGTGCGCAACTTCACTGATCAGATCTGGGACGTCGAAATCCGTGTTGCACGTCACAGTGTGACGTCATGCGTAGGGGAAGTGTGTTCGGGTCTCGGAACGTCGACGGAATGACGCAAGTCCAACCCAAAAAATGACGTACATCACGGATTACGCCGTCCCACAACCCCCATCCCAGTTGCGCACTCTGGGGGTTATGGATTCTTGATACCATACACACATAGGTGCATTGATACCTACATGATCCTGAGAGTAGTAGCAACAGCAACAGCAACAGCAGCCGCTAACAAGCACGTGAACGTTTCGACTCAAGATTGTATTGTTGTGTGTACATGTCTCCATAAATAATAATATTATGATTCAGCTCTGAGATATCCAGAGCATTCAGGGCATGAAGTGTGTAAAAGACCTTAGGCCTAGTATGCACACCAGAATGGACTGGTAGAAAAAGACTCACCACTGTAAGTCTGAAGTGCTGATCATGCGTGTACGTGTTTCAGCCGGGCCTGGCCAGCAGGCTATCTCACAGATAGCACGCCTGCATCCGAAATCTCGTCCGGCATGTGAGCAAGCAAAGTGAAAAACGCATTGTGCGTTAGCATGGCAGCAGGTCTGGCCCGGACAACCACGGTGCCGGCTCAAAGTACCTCAGCGCCCACGCGGCCGAGCCAGCACATCTGCAATATATCCGTGCAATGAGTGTTCCTTTGTCTGTGACTCAACGTACGTGCCCGAGATGTCAGATGCATGCTGCCAGACCACCCGCCTGTCAGTGAGGTTGTTGACCAGCCCGGGATGGAGTGATTAGACACAACACACACACACACACACACACACACACACACACACACACACACACACACACACACACACACACACACACACACACACTGTACTTGTACTTGTTGCTCACTGCCAAAACTGGTCACGTGAGTCCCCCCGGGAGAGGGGAGAGAGACTCAAAAGGAATCTTGGAAAGATGACTCAATTGGTTATTGAACCGCCCAACGGCCGACACCCCTGAAATCCCCAAAACGCTGGGTGGACTTGAAAATGATCCCACTTATGGGCTCACCACACCTCAGTAAGTGGGTGAGGACAAGGTGCAGAAAAAGGATTGACGGTATCAGGGTATCCGTCCCGGGATCCAACTGCAGTTACCCCTGCCCCCAGTGAAGGTAATACTTGCTACTAGTGTGAGTGGCTAAATCAGAGTGGATCTGATAAAAGCTTCACTAGCACCATTGATTACACAAGAGTTAATCTAGCCAGAAGCAGTCCATGGTTAACAGGTATGTATACTTCAAATAGACAGTATATGAACCCTGGAACCAACAAAGGTGGCAGGTACAACATTACACCTTCAAGCGGCCGAGCCTGTTGGCAACAGACCCAACACAATCAGGCATAAGTGTACCTACCAACCGAACTAGCTGGCACACACACACATACACACACACACACACACACACACACACACACACACTGCAACTCTGAGTTCACATACCCGGTTACGGCCACGGTTAGCGTATTTTCTTGGCTGAAGCAGTCTTGAATGTTGTTCTGTCCTGGTCACCACGGTCAACAGTCTTCAACTTGCCATACGCAATCCAGTAACCTAGCAGTCCAGCAGATACCGTGTATACCGCCATGACGCAAGCCATATTGGCAAGGCTAGGTCGCGATGGGAGCTCCCTCCACCTAGGCATGTCCAGCTGCAGGGCCAGCCCTTGATAGTAGGCACCGACGACTGTACCGATATGCATCAGAGAGTGGCTGTGTAACACGTAGAAACAGTCTGGTGCCAATCTCTCCGGCAGGTGCGTGGCTAGGCATAGTCCACCCAGGGCACTACAAGCCAAATGCAGGCAGTGATACAGGTCAGACGGCTGTGTCTCGCCCGACAAGTAGCGGCTCAGCAGCGGCAGAGCGTTGACGGAGAACGATGCCGTGAACGCCGCCACAACAATCACCTTGATGTGTTCGGCAGGCCTGAACACAAAGTTCATACAGCACTGCATAGTGAAGACAGACAGATGACTGGCCAGGGCTATGCTAAAGAATGCTCTCATGGAGAAAGTGGCAAAATTCCCAGTGCCTGGATCCATAGGTCTAGTATATGCGTAAAGCGCCAATGCCGAGGCCGTTGTCGAGAAGTTGATGCCGAAGTAGTCGAGGATGAACATAGCGCGACAGTGCCATCGGGAAACACAGCCGAAGATATGCGCAAGACAGCTGCACGTCACACACACCCACACACCAAACATCTGCAGCAGCAGAGGTACGTACTGCTCTCGGATTAGATGGACGTGCTGCCCGCTTTCACCGCCGCAAGCCTCTCGTAGCGATTCGCACAGCAGACCAATGTACACCAGAGACGAAACGCCGTGGCTCCAGATGTTCGCTGCCTCGTTGCTGAGCGTGAAGCAGCTCAGAATGCTCTCGGAGACGGTGTTTGCGTGTCTGTATCCTTTACGTATGAAGGGAATGCGATCGCATTGGTCTACAGATAGATCAGAGCCATGGCTGGGCAGCTGGGCCTGTGTAGCTCCAGCCACAAATCTGATCCAGTTAGTTGCAGTCTCCAGAATGCCCATGATCACTACTCACTGTGTAGTCTTGTAAGCAAATCGCTCACATGAACACTAACACGTTCTTCTAAACGAGGCCTAGCAGTCAGTACTACGGTGGCCTCACACAGACATAATTGTGCACCTGGTCACCACATCAGCTCACAAGCTCACAGGCTAAAGCCGCTTGACATTAGCGGATGTCCAAGCAGCAGATCAGAGACGGTCCACTCTCCGAGCATCAGTCCGTCGATTACCTCCGCCTGTCACCATACCATGACGTCCGACTCAGAGAGAGAGAGAGAGCGCGCGCGCGCTGAGCGTTCGTACACAGCTACCAAACGACTGGGTGCTGTTTTGTGCTGGCGGATAACATGGGGCACTAGTAGTTGTAGCTAGTGCCACTATAATACAACCATGACATGCTACTAAATCATCACACACATGTCACGATTGTTCTCCCACGGCTACCAAACCGAAATACAGCGAAACAAAGACTACGGTGACGTGTCGTGTCCTCTCCACTTGAAAGCACTTGAAAAGGGGTAAAACAAATTTAGCCCATTACTCCATCCATCTGCAACATTGTTCTGATGGTCGATACAATTTTATTGTGATGGAGATCTACGCGAGAGTTACTACACAGCAGTAGATCATACTGGAACTACACTCCAGACGTAGATCTACTGCACTGATGAGTGATGCACTGGTACATGCCTCCACACTACAAAAAGACTAAAATACAATACAAAGTAACGAAGCACAAGTACTGAAGTAGATCTACACACTACTACTAGTACTAGTACTAGTACTAGCCTCAACTCTTTGCCAAGTCTTGTCTTTGGACTACTGTAGTACTGAGTGAGTGTTATGTAGACTACACTGCAAACTCACACGAGTCGCACTACTCACAATGTTACACTGAGCCTGTCAGCTTTGCAACAGGTATCCCGGGAGTACAATCATGTACTGTACTACTTCTTGCTCTGCACAGACTAGCTTGTACTTGTAGCTAGCAGTAAACGTACCGGTATGGTATGTCTTATGATAAGAGTAATGTCTGTTCATTTTTGCAGCACAGACTCTGCACCCTGCTGGCCTGGCCAGTATGCCCAACACATGTAAAATTGTTGCTGCTGCTGCATACGCCCAGCACTGAGGCTGTCGTTACAAATAAAACAGTCTCGTACTTCATGGTTTCTGACTCTGAGTAGATCCGGTACAGCTGTACCGAGTGCGTGTCCAAGACTCGATACGACGATAGATCGCACGGCAGGTGGAAAGTCTCGCCTACGAGTACGAGCGCTTTTCGCACAAGTGTAGAAACTGATTTGAAGTCAGGGCGTCGAAGATGGTGAAGAAGATCGTGTAGTCAGGACGTCGACGGTCCGAAAAAACCTCAGCTGGCCAGCGTAGAGTCTACCCGCCACAGTGTCACCTTGTCACCGTGTAGACATGATAGACTTCTGTCAGTTCTAATGTCCTGCTGAACAGACAGTTCGGTTTGTTTCGTTTTTGGTTCACCTGTGCGTTATTGTACTTACAAGGGGCGAGATGAGGAATGTTGCAGCGCACAAGCTCTCGCACTGCGCAAACCAGAGGCGAGCTGCTCGCTATGTTGTGGAGAAAGCTTCCTCCATTCACCAGCGGTGCCTTGGACTGCTATCTGGACTGGCGCACTGGGCCAATTGGGTGAAGTTACCGGAGCATGGGGACGCGAGTACTGTTGATCCCTACTTCCATGTGCCGTTCATCACGCTGGGCTATCGACACGTATCTTGCGTTTCTGAGTGCATTCTGAGCAGCTTGACGCTGTCCAACGAGGTGGTGAATATCTGGAGCCATGCGTTTCTGGCGCTGTATGCAATGTCGAATATCTACAGATTTCTTTGCGAGATTACTACCAGTACGGACTATAGTGACTCAACTGGGTCCATACGTCATGGTGACAATGTGGTACAAGTAGTGGGGGGATTGCAAGCCTACTTACCCCTGCTAGTCCATCAGGTTGGGTCGATGACCTCGGCCGCAGCCAGTGCTATTGCTCACCTGCTACACAGCCAGTCGGAGTGGCATCACCAGATGTGGTTCTTGGTGGATTACGCCGCCATTGGGTTCTACAATCTCGGCCTGGCCATCGCGCAGTACTCGCTGAGCCGACCGCTGAGTTCCGGCACCCTGGCGAACGTCATCTGGTCGGCTGACACGTACATCGTGATGGCCATGTGCTGCCATCTCGGCGTGTTTGTTCTGCAATGCAGCATGCAGTTTCTCTTCCATTCCTCGCCGTTCCGCCCCATACTGTTGGTATCCAGCTACGGTGCAGCATCCATCCTCAATTTCCTACCGTTCCTCAACCGTGTGGTGGCCGGGGAGAGCTATGCATCCGATGCCTTGCACTGGGCGGAAATAATATCGATTTCAGTTGGCGCAGTGATCATGGCTGCACAGCTCCCAGAGCGAATGTGGCCCGATCATTTCTACCATTTGAACAGCCACTCAATCATGCACATCACCGCCGCTATCAGTTACTACTGCCAGACGCAGGCCTTTCACATGGACCTTGCTCGCTGGGAGATGTTTCCCGAGTCGCTCAGACCACGCACAGATCTTCTTGTCGGAGTACTGCTTATTTACCTGCTTAGTAGCAGTAGCATCCTGTACTATGTTCTTGCAAGGTATGGCTCCTCTGAATCCAAGGCACAGCCTTACACTCATGCTGACAATAAAGCCTGACGCGTCGGCTGCATCATATCACAACACCTTGTAACATCCCTACCACTAGTCTCAGGCATGTTGACTGACAATACCTTTTTGAAGAATTGTTAATGCCAATACAGTCGGCGTGGAGACAATGGATCACAATACCTGTATAAAGGAGAAGAACAAAATGTTGCGGGTTATGACTAACTCTCCACCAACGTAACCAGGTTATGTACAGTCAGGCAAAGCGACAAAATGGCACAACACTGACAAGGAGTACTGAGATGTCTGGTTACGTTGGTGCACAGTTAGTCATAACCCGTAACATTAATTTTTGTTCTTCTCCTTTTTACCATAATTACTATAATAATTGAATTGGCTCACCAACCGATGATAAAAATAAAGTGTTAACACACCATAGCTTAGTGGTGGAGCATCGCTGGCCATACGCAAGGGTCCTGGTTCGAGTCTTGGTGGTGGTAGTACATCTTTTCTTCAGCCTTTTTCCCGTTCTCAACTCCCTTCAACAGTTATGAATCTGTAAAAAATGGAGTGGAGAAAATAATTATAATTATAATTTTACAAACACATACGATCACACCAGTTGAGACATGCACTTCACGCTGACCCATCATCACCTGACTTGAGATCTTGCAAGTTTTTTTTGAGACATTTGTTTTTTAGGCTATTACCTGGCGTGCGATATTGTGGGTAGGTTCTGTTTTTGTTTCTGAATATGTGACATTATCTTCAATGTTAGTCTCAATTATTAGCACTAGTTATGATGTTCCTGGTATATTGCCACGTTATTATTACATTTTTTTTAGTTTTTTTTATTCGTTATTATTGCAACCTTTTTCTGTAGTTATAATTATTGTTGTTTTGTTCACAGGAGTCACATATCCCTGAAGATGCCCTCTTGGGCGAAAATTTGGAAAGGAATTTGAAGTTTGGTTTGGAGAGTTTTGGAGAGATTTTAATTTTTTTTTTGTAGCCAAGGACTTTGTGCGGCCGTGGGCGGTAAAACATTTAAAAATCATTATAATTTTAGCTATCAATAAGATGTGCTGTACTATTATTCCAACAAGCGCATTCCAACGAAGTTTAATAGTCTAATAATTATACAACAGGCCCGGTGCATGGATTATGTGCCAGGCTTAACAGCACGCACCCACCTTACATCAACCATGTCACAGGCTATATCAACGGGTGACACAACTGCGTGACAGAACCGTTGAATGTGGCGCTACCAGCGAAACCCGGATTAGGGGCAGCAGTACAGACCACTGCAATAAGTACAAACCTGTGACGGCGGTCAAACGTCAAAGAGAGATGATGAGACAGAGATAGAGACCAGGTTCGGCCACCACCAAAGCGACCAAGAAGAACCAAATCCAATTACGGGAACCCTGTTGTATTAAATTTTACCAGAGGCACTGACCACTGACCAGTCAAGCTACTTTAGTGTTGAAAGGAGACCGAGGACTGAGAGAAAGGAACCAATAGGCGGTAGCCCTTGGCTGATAATCCTCGAACAGTTGGCAGATTCTGCTCGAAAAGCAGTGAAATTTGCAGAACCATACAAACCTTATGGCAGGCACTTCCTGCTCCACTATTTTATCCACATACCAAACATGAAGGCGAAACAGCTGTCAGGAGGAATTTCAGTACCTACATGTACCTGCAACCATTCCTTGTATGGCTGTTGGTGTGTGTAATGGCCACCGAGGGTAGCAGTGAGTCGGCTGTGAGAGCGCATGGAGGAGAGGAGAGGAAGAGTTCTTCATACCAAACATGCATGAAACATACATGTACAGATACCAGAAAAAGACTTACATGTACGTGTAGAGTGTAGTAGCAAATTCTGCCGCCATTATCCGCCAAGAGCTGATAGGTACTAGCGGTAGCGATGCAGGTACCGTGGTGTTGGTAGTGATGGTACTGGGAAGACGGACTGTGAGCGTGAGGATGGTGCTGGCTACGGATAGAGATAAGTACGGATGAAAGGTGAAGAAGAAATCAGCGGTGTATCACCAGGCGCTTGACGTAGGTGTGAGAAACTGCGTCCTTTACTCAGTTTGACTGATTTCGCAATAAGAACCATGAAAAGGAGACCGTGGATAGGATGACAAATTCGATGAGCAGACACCTGTATACCATACCATGTCTGTACTTTTCTGCCATGGAGCATGCTACTGAAGGGTTTCCATGGGGACAACACCACCCAAATCTGCAAGAACCCCTGCTCATAACCTCAACAACAATTGCCAAACGCAAGCAATTTAGTTGGAAGCTGTTATTATTCCCCACAACGTTGGAATATCATTCAAGTCCTGCATGTCAAAGTTTCTTTCTTTTCCATCTCTGGAGCTAGGATGTCATCTCTGTCTCTCAGCTAACAGCACGGTCCTTCGTCCATGAAGTTACTGGGGGTGCGAGTTCCGACCCTATTTCCACTTTCCATAGGAAAGTAGTGGTTGAGTTGGGTAACTCCGCTCTTCTTCCTCGCTCACCGGAGGAAATGTAGTCTCCTCGCGCAACTGGGGAGCAGTTTTCATTGGACATTAGTGACGGGACGATGCGACGGGAATCAATGGTACGAGCTGATGAACGAACGCTTTACGAAGGAAAAGAAAAATTTGCTGTCGGAATTTTCAATGTGCGGGGCCTCATGTCGGCCGTCAAGAGGAACTGGCTTGTGTCGGTACCTCTCTTTCTACGGCATAGACGTCTGTACCCTTCAAGAAATCAAGTTACCTGCAGGGCTTGACGAGCAGCGAAACGGCTAAAGAGGGAGTACGAGTGGAGCGGAGTGTTAGAGCACGCGGACGGCCAGTGTCATTGTGGAGTCGCGACTTGCAGCTGTTCGGCTTGTTGGTCACCCGGAGCTCCGTCAACGCGGGCATGGAGCTAATGCGAGCGCGTGGCCGAGGTTGCGCTGACTAGTTGGCGGCGGCTAGCCGAGCTCGACGACTTGTATACGGCCTCAGTAACGGAGCTGCCACCCAACACCTGAAACGCAACGGCTGCAGAATCTTGGAATGTTCGAGTCTGCCTTGTTCGTTCTGCCAATGTGTCATGCAAGTAATGTCTTCTCCCTGAATGTTCGGAACGTTTTTGCAAATTGTCTGTACATGTGAAAATGGGTTGGCCATCTTTTGTAGCTTTCCACTACGTGGTTCGCGGCTGTAGTTTTTATGGTGGGAGATCTGCGCCAAGCCAATGCTGGATTGTTCAATAGTAGACGCTCTGCAGAGCCTGGGAGCCATTGCCCATGACAGACCAGCATGGCGAGATCTATGCATGAGGGTCTGTGCATTGTGATATTCCAACAGATCCTGAAACAGTCAAACTCAGGAAATAGCACTATCATTATCACTCAAGCTGCAATATTCATATTATGGACATATTCATAAATGACATATCTTCAATACCCATGAGCTACATTGTATATAATATATATGATATAAGTATCATAATTACTACCTCCGACAAGCGAAACTTGGCGCTTTTTTACTTCAAATTACTCGAAATAACTCACACTTTACAATCAAAACTAATGATTGACTCACCAAAATTCAACTTTGTATTGCTCAACAAGGACATTAGAGACATCTGTTACGCTGAACAACTCTCCCCTGATTCAGAGATCGCAGTTTCTTCTGGAGAGGAATTGTCCCTGTTTTGAGACGAAAGTGCGACTAGAGCGGATTCAGTTGCAGCAAGTACCTCTGTTGTAATCGCTCTGAAAATCTCGATGTCGCTCCTGTGTGCAGTGCTCGAGCCACGGTGTCGAGGGTAGTCGTTTCCGCCGCCACTATCCAGATTGAAGTGGTAAGAACTGTACAACACCTCCGCAAGCGCCTGGAGTCAACTGTTTTGCAGGGTATTCTCGCCAACTGTCCAAAATTGCCTGCAGCAATTCCTGGCGATTTTCATTAGCCACCAGAGACGCATCGCTCTGGTGGCTGTTGAAAGGCACTAGGATTGTTTGGCATGGTCGTATGGACTCTGTGCTGGCGGAGTGACCAAGAGGAGAGAGAGAGAACTCCTTGGTTTTGCATTGAAACGCGAAAGCACGACGATTCTCCTTCGCAGAATGGACGCGCGCACAGTTTTGCTGGTACACGAGAGACACGCATGCCTCTGACTAAGTCTGAGCTATGTGCCACTCACTAGGCCGTCGCTTGGCTTCCTGCACTCGGTTGCATGGAGCTACAAGTAGGTCGTACCTCACAGCCTTGTGAAGTAATTTTGGTACCAAAACAAAAAAATCAAAAAAACGCGCCAAGTTTCGCTTGTCGGAGGTAGTATTATTATCATCGTTCTAGCTCATTTTTTCCCTGTCATAGTCCTGTTTATCATGTTCAGCATAAGCGAAGTTGTGGATCATGCTTGCATGGTTGACTCCAACGCGTACATGCAAGTAATAATAATAGGAAAGTAGAATTATAGGAACTTTTGACGGAGCATCCGCAGCTCAAATTCACAATCTCACGCTAACTGTTAGCTATACGTAAATCTCTTGAGTAAAAGATACATGTATTGCACTGCACAAGTTTGTTTCACCCTGAAATCTTTCCAGCCCCCAAATAAACAGTCAAATCAGCTCAGCCAGGTTGGTAACGCCACATGAACAAGATTCACCATTACTATCCCCGCAGTATAAAAATATGCTAGGGAGAAAGAAGAATGCCGCCAAGGAGAAGGGAGACATAACGCTTCTGATGTACCAGCATGACTTAGTTGAAGGCTAGTGGATTCAAAACGAATCAGCAATTAGCCAAAGAGTATGTTTGTGGAACAGAAAACCAAATTTATAGTCACATGTAATTGTTGAAAGCTTCTGGCCCTGTTCTGAGAGTCGTATTTGTGACAAGTTAGTTTATGCACCTCAAATGATAAATGACAGGGAAAACTATCGATTTTGTTACCGAAGTTACTACATGTACATGTACTCAGTTCAATGTAGTAGTATTGATGATGGCTTTGCAAGTTATTTCAAAACAGATCAGGTGGCAAAGAAAAAAATGGAGGCGTGCTCAATTTCGAAAGAATACAATGTACATGTAGGTGTCAGCACCGACGCAATTCCCAGTCAAGTAAAGACAATTTAATAACCGTTTAAAATACTACTAAGTTACTAGTAACTATGAATAGAAGTACATGTATGTGTTCAGAAGGAAAATGTTTTGTCACTTCAGTTGTTTGGTGCTAATCCTCGTGAAAGTGTCAGGAATGCTGCTCCTCGTTGATGTTTTTTAAAATGTTTTAGTCATTGCTTCACCGTGTGTACGCTTCTCGTTGGCTGAGAATTCGAAAGAACCGAGAAGCAATGTTCTATCTCGAACTTCGAATACACTGTGTATTTGCGAAGCTTGTTTTTTTTGCTAACTGTATTTTTGTTGTGGCGCGCAGTGCAGGTTGACGTCACTGTAGTGACGTAATCATTGTTGAGCGAGCGCTGTGAAACAGCGCTTGCGCAAACAGATTTTCCTTCTTTTTTGTCTTGCTTGTCAAGGGCGCAGTCCGTTTTGTGCACAGCTGAGAAGTTTTCTTTTTTGGTAACTTTAATATCTTCTTTTTGTCTTGCAATGACTGTGCGCAGCCGACCGACCCTGCACTGTGGTTTTGCTGTTGCAAATGTGAGATGTGAGAGAGAACAACCTGTTTTTTACCTGTTCAGCTAAATTTTATTTTTTCCACACGTACATGTACATGTACATGTATAGCGTGAGGTTCTCAATCTATGCTTTTGCTGTACCTCTATACGTTGCTGTATTTTGAA